AAGGCTGTCAACCATCCCAGGCTTATGTTAGGGGTGGGAGGGACCAGTGCTGGCTGGCTGCTGATGAAATCGAAGTCTCTAACATCTCTATACAGGAAATAAAAGTGCAATCCAATAAGTCACGATAGGCCCAGAAATTACTGCCATGACCAGCCGCTGTCAGCCCTGGGGAGATAGTGACAGTGTTTAGGTGTGGCCTCTGGCCTCTAACCTGCTAGAATGGGAGCACCCCTAGGGCAGGGTCCCTAGCATCTGGGACAATAGGTGCTGCACAGTGAGGAACCCATGTTTGTTGAATGAATAAACGACAGAACTATCCTTAGGGTGGGAAGGGGATTTGTCCCTCCTGCATAGCAGCGTGGAAATAACCATCAGGAGAAGCCTGAGTGAGCTCACTCCCAATCTCTGACCTCAGGGCTAGTCTCACTGGGAAAACCCCATAGGCAAAGGCTGAGTCTTCCAACATGGTCTCTCTCACTGTGGGAGCTGGACTCGCTTCATGTCTGCTTGCTGTAAACAGTCTCAGAATCCAGTGAGGAGCAGGTTATTTGCCGGGTGCCACCCTAAGTGTCCTGTGTACCCATGATGCACTGACCCATTTGGGCAAGCCTCGGGGGCCACATGGCTCCTCTATCTCTCCCCCCATTCCCCCCATCTCACCCTCTCTCCCTCCCTCTCTCTCCTTCTCTCTCTCTTTCCCCTTCTCTTCCTCTCTCTCACACTCCCTCCCTCTCCCCCCTCCACACACTCTCCCTCCATCCCTCTCCCCTCTCCCCTCTCCCCCCTCCACTGTCTCTGTCTCCCTCCCCCCTCCCTCTCCCTTGCCTATCTCTGTCTCCCTCCCTTTCCCTTCTCCCTCCCCCTCTCCCTTTCTCTCCCTCTCTCTCTCTCCCTCTCCCTCTTCTTCTCCACTGCCTCCCTCTGTCTCCCTCCCTGTCCCCTCTCTCCCGCTCCCTCTCTCCCGCCCCCCTCTCTCCCGCCCTCTTCTCTCCCTCTCCCTCCCTCTCTTTCTCTTTCTCTCCCTCCCCACTGCCTCCCACTGTCTTCCCCCCCTCCCTCTCCCTCCCTCACTCTCCCTCCCTCCCCCCTCCCTCTCCCTCCCTCCCTCTCCTTCCTTCTCTCCCCCTCTCTCTCCCTCTCCCTCCCTCCCTCCTGATAGCAGCAGGTGCTGTTTTATTGGGTGGCAGCCCTCACCCCTCTGTCTCCCTATCTGAAAGCTGAGGGCCAGAGTGTGATGTGAGGCCTTTGATGCTTTCCAGAAACAATAGCTGGGCGACTGCAGGGAAGAATCAAAGGCCAGCAATTTACTTTACTCTGAGCAAAGGCAGAGATTTCAAAGGAATCTTAATTGACCAGATCCAAGGATGGGTGACCAGTATTGTGTTTGATGTTGGAAGAGCAGGTGGCTGGCTCTGTGGTAAACATGGTTTTCTGTGAATTACTAGTGTCACATGATGATGGTAAAAAATGAGGTGAATGAGTTACTTCCTAGGCCTGTCCTCTTTTAGGGTGTTATGGGGAAGAGGAACCGCCCAGCATGGAGGAGGTCTGACAGGATTGTGGGGGCCTGTGCAGGAGCCTCGGCCCCCGGGATGCCGGACCTTGGCCTCTCACTCGAGGCCCATGGTTTGGGGGCGCACTGTGAAGATGGGGAGCTGGACAAAGCGGGCTCCTCTAACTGCAGCTCAGACTCGGGGGCAGCAGGCCTTTGATACCCGTGGGGGCTATGGTGTGGCACCCTGCCGCAGACCATGTCTGACACACGGAGCCCCTTTTAGCATCCCGCCTGCATTGGAAGGGTGGCCATGTCCTTTGTTTTCCAACCAGGACATGTTTGAGATAGAAAGGGAGCACACTTTACAGTTTTCCCAGATAGCAGGGAAAGCGGGACGGGCCCATGACCTGGGTCACTCTATTTGGGAGCTCAGAAGCGAGGATGCGGCCCGTCCTATCCCCAGGACGGCATGTGAAAACTGAGTTCTAGCCCTGGAGTTTCCACGTCGTTCCCTGGTGATGCTGACGGGCCACGCTTTTAGGACTGCGCTCCACAGATGTGGCACTTGTGGGTTGAAGAGGAAAATTCTGGCTGAAGGGATTCCTGTAGCTGTCATCTCCTGTACTAGCCAGCTCTGCAGGTGAAGATGCTAAGTGGACCAGGGCAGAATGAGCCTGTCATGTGAACTGTCCCAGGCCGGGGCAGTCCTTGGAGCACGGAGACGGCAGGTGCTGCTAGGCTGAGCCTCCTTGCCCACCTACCCAGGAAGCACTGGGGCTGGAGGCAGCAAACCTGACCTCTGGATTCTCAAATAGAGCCCTGGGCCTCAGAGGCCCCCACCCAGATTCACCCAGAGAGCATTTTATCCAGTGAACCTAGTTTTAGGGATTCGTATCCTGTCTACTCAGAGGTCCACATCAGCATCTTGGGTCAATCAGAATGTCTTGACCCAGCCTCCTCCCTCCTGTGATCCAGAATAATTACATTAATAGTTAATGTAATGATAGGAGCTTGCTGATGGCTACATTGATGACAGCAGTCTCCTAACTGCATTGCAATAGGGTCTTGGGGGGGGGTGCTAGCGTGCTGTTGTGGGTTCTCAGGGGTCCACTCTTGTTTACTAATTAACCAGCTTAGATTGGGAGACTTCCAATGTCGTATTGGAAAGGTCTATGTGAATTTGGGGTTCATTGGTAGATGAAAGTGTGGCTCTCGGGACATCAGCTTCAAGGTCACCAGGAAATTTGTTAGCAATGTGAATTTTAAAGGTCCAACTCAGACTTAGTGAATGAGAAGGTCTAGCTGGGTCCAGCTCAGGGATAGATAGTGGATTTATTTATCTGTCTGTCTATTTATTTTTAACAATCCCTCCCGAGATTCTCAGGATTAAAGTGTGAAAGACACTGTTGTGGCAACACTGTTTGTCTTATCTGTTCTGACCCGCTCCACAGGGGTGCTGAAACCTCTGAATTGTGGTCCAGTTGCTTGACATGTAATTACACAAGCTTTGGCTTGCTGAAGTCCTCTGACAGGGTGGAAACAGGGTCCGTCCTTATGACCCACGCTTTCCACATTAGCTCGCTAAGGACATTGCAGATATTATCAGATTTTACCCTTGCAGCACCGAGGCCTGGCTCAGGAGCTGGGTGTCTCTTAGGGCGCTGGGTGGACTGGGCCTCAGCGGGAGGCTTACTTGGTGCCTTCTTTCCCAGGGGAACCATCAGCAGTGTGCCCCCCTAATTCTCTCAACTTTCAGAGGCTCTCCCCTCTCTGCTGCTGCTCCCCTCCTTCCTGTTTAAAGATGTCCATGATAATTATAATCTGATGTTTTTACTGTAACTTTTGCCAAAGTGTGTGCACAGCACTGGAGATTGAGAGGGTCTAAGGTCCTAGGGGTTGGTGACTGAAGGCCGGATGGGAGGACAGGGGGTTGGTGACTGGTGGCTGGGTGGGAGGAGACAAGGGTTGGTGAAGTGGCGGGAGACGTGTGGCCCTGGCACAGCTGGCCAACTGTAGTCCTGTGGGGTAGGGGTCCTGTGTGTGCCCGGGGGTGTCAGTTCTTGTGAGGTCTGAGAGGCAGCCTTGCTGAGGCTGGCTGCGCCCTGGGTACCTGCTTCCTCAGTGTGCAGAGGGCTCAGCGGCACTTCAGCTATGGGAGCTCTTTCCCCACCCTCTGCCACTTCCCCTCAGGGTGTATGGTATCCGAGTGTCTCGGTGCCCTTCTTCCTCACTGAGGCGAATGGACACAGCAGCCTGGGCTTCCTGTGTTAGACAGTCGTTCTGTGTGTGTGCACTGGGGATATTTGTGTACGTACTTAGCAGTTTCATTGAAGTCTAAGATTTTGTGTGTTTACAAATCCTAAAATCTGTTATTTTGATATTTTGTTTGCCTTCTTATTTTTAACTTTATGTCTACTTTTAGTACTAAAATGATTTTTAAGTTTGTTGTGTTTTTAAAAAGATGAATTTACAAACTATAATAATTTTTTTTCCAGTGGGGTTAATCTTCTCCACAGGATTAATTGTCCTTGTTTAAAATGTACCTACCCAAATGTGATGGCGAATGCCTGTAATCTCCACAGCCCGAGGGGCTGAGGCAGGAGGATCACAAATTCAAATCCAGCCTTAATGACTTAGTGAGACCTTGTCTCAAAATAAAAAGTGCTGGGGATGTGGCTCAGGGGCAGAGTGCTTGCCTGCCTTGTGCAGTGCCTTGAGTTCAATCCCTGATGACCCCCTGCCCCCAAATCCACACACAGGCAGACTGAGCCACCAGGAGATGGCATGGAAGCGGTTGAATATGCTGATACTGAGAGTCTGTGCTATAATTCCCCACATGTAATTTCAATGTATAATGTTTAAAGTATTTGAAGTACTTTAGCTGATTAGTCATAGCCATGAGTAGAACTGAACATTTTGCTATGCACAGGGTATTTTCGTGGCTTATAATTTTCTGTAAAGATTTCCAAAATATTATAGGAGTTGCCAGGAGAGTTAACATTCCCAATAGTGAGAAGGTCGACGCTTGTCCTCTCTGTGTACAAATAGATACGACTCTCTGTTCACACATGTAATTGCCAACAAAACACACGCACTCTGACTTCCATGTAATATTGTAGAAATGGGTTTTGTAGTCTTAAGAAAGCAATTTTGATACACATTTACAAGCTTTTGAAATGTTTGCCCTGGGGGTGAGTGCCTTTTCAGCATTTCCTTCAGTGTCTCTTCATTAGGGATACAGTTGACAACCACAATTAAGAATCCCAAATAATCAACAATGACAGTAGTATTTCAGGCTCCCTAAAGTCCAGGGTTGCTCAATAATAATAATAGCAAGTCTATTAACATGAAAACCAATTATAGCTCTCAACAAAAAATGACTTCCCTAGGCAGCTCTGGGGGGTAAACACTCCCCCCCCCCCACACTGCCAGCACTGTCGCCACCTTGGCCACCAACCCCCTCCCCATCTATTCAGGTGGTTTCCCAGAGAAGTTCTTTCCCTACCTGTTCTGGTGCTTTGCCTGGGAGTCAGATGGCGCTCATTTCAGAATCCCTCTCAAGGTGGAGACCTGAGGAGCTCTGAGGAGCTCTGCTGCAGAGTTCTGCTCATCTTCAGGAGCAGGTGAAAATCAGGAACTGAGAGAAACCACGAGATAATGGGCTGGCCTCCGCTCTGCTGCAGTGGGCAGTTAGACCTGGTGAGGCTGGGAAGTGGCAGCGCGTTGGGAGGCCTCAATGGCTTGGTGTGTGGGTGTCAGGCTGACCTCTGACCTCTGCACGAGTTCCTTTTCCTTCAGTAATGCAAAAACCATCTACTTTTTTTTTTCTTTTTCAAAATTTCTGCACTTTCTCCCACATCTCTGTATCAGCCAGTGAACAGCCAGGCAACAACCCAAACAGTTTTTCTTTCCTAACTCTGTCATTGGCGAATACAACACATGGAAAGAGATGGGGGAACAGATACAGTCACCCAGGAGGAGACTACAGGGCCCACCTGGCATCCCCAGCTGGATGCTGAGTGGCGCTGCCTTGGAATGCAGAGGCAGCCTTGGCTAAGGAGGCATTACGGCACCAGTGAGTCCCTCTAAGTACACCACCCCTTGGCACTCATGGGAGATGGGTTCCAGGACCCCTCAGATGCCAAAGTCTATGGATGCTCAGTTACGCCCCCTACAGAAAATGGTTTAGTGTCGCGTGTAACCATGCAAAACTACTTCAACCAGCTTTTCTGCTGTTGTGACCAAAAGACCTGATAAGAACAGCCTTGGGGGAGGAAAAGGTTATTTGGGGCTCACGGTTTTGGAGGCCTCAGTGCACAGGCGGCCTTCTCCTTAGCTCTGGGTCCAGGTGACGCAGGGCAGCTTTGAGAAGGGCTGTGGAGTAGGAAAGCCGCTCAGGACATGACAGTCAGGAAGCAGAGTTCACCAGGAACAAAATGTAAACCCCAAGGCACGCCTCCAAGGCCCACCTCCTGCAGCCACACCTATCTGCCTGCAGTCACCACCCAGTTAATCGCCACTGGAAGGTTAATGCACTGACTAGGTTAAGGCTCTCCTGGCCCTGAGCCTTCTTGCATTCTCATACATGAGCTCTGGGGACACCTCATACCTAGACCATGAAAACATCTTCCTGTATACTTTAAATCCTCTCAGATTACTGATAATACCTAACGCAGTGTGAATGCTCTGGAAATAGTCATTGTGTATTGTTGGGTGTTGTGGCAACGAGAAGTCTGCCCACGTTCAGCACAGATGCAGTTTGTCTTTGGAGTGTTCTCCATGTGTGGTTGGTTGAGCCTCAGGGTGTGGAACTCATGGACACAGAGGCCTTCTCAGTGTGCATGACTCAGAAGGAAGGAAAGCTCTGACCTGGGAGATGCCACGGCCGCCCCTGTATCTTGGGGAGCTTGCTCCAGCTGTCCCGTGGCCAAGTCCCGGCTCAGGCTCACATCTGATGTTCACTTTCCCTGTGCACATGAGCTGTTGGCAGTTGCCCTCGGGCACTGTGGTCAGTGCTGTGACAGGACGGGCTCTCGTGGGCTGCAGGGTGCTTGACAGGCAGCAGGCCATGCTCTGACACTACGAGGCAGTGGCAGCTGAAGCAGGCCCTCGTTCTTTCCCTCTCGAGGTGCGTTTTCTTATTTTGTGCCTCATCTGCAAATTTAATAGTCACGGTTGGTCCTCAGACAGAGGCCTGAGGGGCCTGGAGCTGGTGGGAAGCCCCTGCTTGGCTCCGCCTGAGGGTCACCTTTTGCAGACTTCCCAGACCTATCAGCCCTCACGGCTACTTTGACTGCAGGGATGGGGACTCCGCTGTTGGTGAGGCCTGTCCACCTCAGCTCCTGAGGTCTGCCCTAGGAGATCCCTTCAGAGGCCAGTCATTACTAGGGGCACTGCAATTCCCAGATGGAGCACTCTGTGTCGGGGTGGGGGAGCTGCTTGTGCATGGTGTCTCTAAGTGGGGGTCGTGTTCACTGGGCTGGTGGCAGGTACCCGCTTGTGCTATCCTGTCCCTCCTGACTTTCTGTGGGGTGCTGCACATACCTGTCACTGAGGGTGATGGGGAGGACGTTCTACCTTCCTTGCCTGGAGCTGTTTGCATGTCCTCTCAGTTCCAGGAGTCTTGAAGCCAGAGGTCATCCCTCCAGTGATGCAGGTGAGCTAGTGAAACCCTGGGGAGTAGGGGGATGCAGGAATGGGCTGGCACAGCCTCCTGTGGATGGGCCAGTGTGACCTAGGCTGCTGTAGGTGCTGTCCTTAGCACACAGTGTGTTTTAGCCCATTGAGAACTTCTGACAGTTTAGTGGGCTGGGTAGATTCCCTTCCTCCCCCAGCCCCATGTTTTTCTTAAAGAATGAGGAAACTGAGGCCTGGAGAGGCCAATTCAGGTCCTGTTGCTCCCAGAGCTGGGATTGGAGCCCTGGAAGATCATCTCCCCAGCCTGTGCTCTGACCCTTTGTTCGTGTCTCAATTTAAGACTGGAGAACCTGTGTAGACCTAACACCTCAGGGGCTAACTCAGAACCTGACTGTGTCGTATTGTGCTGGGACAGCCAGTTAACGACCCCTGTTTTATAGTCTTATTGGCAGGTACCAGGGAAAGGGTGGGAGAGAGGGAACCGCCAGATGGCCACCATAAGGGAGGCCCATCCTCAAGGTCACAGACAACTCGCATACCCTTGATAGGGGAGCATTGAACCCAGGGACATTTTACCACTGTGTCCCATCCCCAGCCCTTTTATTTTGAGACAGAGTCGTACTAAGTTGATTAGGGCCTCACTAACTTCCCCAGATGAGGCTTAAACTGCGATTCCCCTGCCTTAACCTCCTGAGGTATTGGGATTGCAGGTATGTGCCACTGCACCTGGCTCTGTGTGTGCTGTTAAGGTTGCATGTTTTAGGACAGACTGCCTACCTTAGTAGTTTGGGCATGGGGTACAGGGCTGGTCTTGGGGTTCTTCTTTCCATTTTTAGGAGAACCTTTAAGGGAGAAGCCCCTCTGGGTGATCCTCCTCAAGTTGTTGCTACCTGTGGTCTCTGAAGCGTTTAGTTCTCTCTGGCTCTTTGAAGGCCTGGTTGACAGACGTGGCTGGCCTGTCACTGCGGAGCTTGTTCACTACTGATTCCAAGACCTGCTTCAGAGGAGCAGAGCTAGAATTCTGTGTTTTTGACTAAGGAATTGCCGTTTTCAAACATACAGGGACACTTCAGAAATAAGGCAGGGTGTGTGTCCCTGCCCTCCTCCTCCCTGCCTTGGGGCCCCTGTTCTAACACGGGAGGGACTTTTCTCTGTCCTGCCTTCTACCTGTTTCATCTGTCCATACACCCAGCTGCCTAGGCCCAGAATCCCGTCTCTGTCGCTTTGGACACTTATGTGGATCTGTGGCTTGAGAACAGAAGTTTTGAAGGACAGGGTGCTCCTAGGGTGGTGATAATGAGAAAGACTCAGACGGCCAAGGCAGCCACAGCCTAAGGCAGCCCAGGGAGGAAGGACGAGGGTCAGAAGGGGCGTCTGTGTCCGGGGTCTTTACACAGGCCCAGCGCCCTCATCTGGAGTGCTTGGGACCAGAAGCGTTTCTTCATTTTAGATGTAGGTATAGACTTCACTGGTTGAGCAGCCCTGATCTGGAAGTTTGAAATGCTTCGGAATCAAACTTTTTGAACCCAACATTGGTGCTCAGGAGTTTCTGAATTTGGGAGAAGTTTGCATGTGGGGATGAGGGTGCCCCACTTGGATTCTGTTGTGTCTTCTCTCGTCGGTTTTTCCCCACTGGATGTCAACAGATGGCTTAAATTTGGTCTTATGCTGGGCATGGTGATGCACACCTGTCATCCCAGCAACCCTGGAGTCTAGGGCGGGAGCATCACAGGCCAGCCTCAGCAACTTAGACCCTATCTCAAAATAAAAAGGGCTGGGATGTGGCTCAGTGGTTAAGCACCGCTGGGTTTAATCCCCAGTACCAAAAAGAAAAAAAAAAAAAAACCCAAACAAAACAACCAGGAAACTAAACAAAAGTAAATCTGGCATTAGAACATCAGCTGTTCCGACTGTCATTAGTGGGGGAGCTAGCCCGTCCTGTCACCCAGACTTTGGAGACTTTTCCTCCTTGGACGCACGGACATGTCTGTGAGTGTCAGCAGGATTCACAATGCGCCTTCCCTCTGTCATGCTTTTATGTAAGGTCGTGCTGGGAGTTTGTGTTCATGGTTGAGTGAAAAGATCAGCTTGTAGGCCTCTTTCTCCTCGAGAAGTCGACATTAGCATCTTATTGTTTGGGGGGAATTTAGCTCGACAGGCAATATTTATTGACTTTAAAACCTTCACATGTCCTTTAAATTAGTTATCTGTGACCTTTACCAGCACAGACACCTTGGCTTCAGTTAACACTCAGCACCAGAAGTAGTACAAAGTAATAAGAAAATAGTGATAACTACCAGAGGGGCATGGTCCCGTCTTCCAGGAGTCTTGTGCCAAAAACTAAATGAATAAGTAAATAAAAGAAAAAATTTATAGCTAAAATGGTCCACATTTGCTTTCCCCTGACCTATGTGTTTTGATTCATGCTAAGCAGTTCCTGTTCCCATCGCCCCTTGTGGAATCCTGACCCTACAGTTCTGTGGGATTTCATCCTGGTGGTTCTTTGTTTTTGTTTTGTCAAAATTGTCCACAGAACCCTGGTGGCAGCTGGCGCAGCCCACCAGACCTGCACACACATGCTCCCTGCCGCTTTAGCTCTGTTTCCAGGCAGGGCCCCCTCATTGGAAATGAGACTGGCTATATATAAACCCCCCTGAGTATTCAGACTGCAGATGAGCGGGTCCAGCACACGTGACGCCAGATGTGCTGTTATTGTTTCCAGGGAGCTTGTATCTGTGCCCATAAAAGCTCGCTTTTCTCAGCCTGATTCCATAAACATACTATTTTGTTTGTTATCCCAAAAATTCAACTCTGTGTGATTCTTAACATCATGTATTTAGAAACTTTTTTAAAAAAGTAAACATCAAGAAAACCTCAAGGTTAAAGCTGCATCCCAGATCTTCCTAGTTTCTTTGCTGGGTAGAGAGTGAGACAGGTGTACCTGTCCCTCCCCACCTGCCCCTGCTCCCTGACCCCTCCCCACCTGCCCCTTCTCACTGGCCACTCCTCACCTGCCCCTCCTCACTGGCCCCTCTCCACCTGCCCCTCCCCACTGACCCTCCCTACCATCCCCTCCTCACCCTCCCTGTCCCCATTGCCCCTTCCCCACCTGCCCCTCTTCACTGGCCCCTCCCCACCTGGC